TTATTGTTAAATTTATTACAATTACAATTCAATTAAACATGCTTTAATTAACAATACTGGATACTACACAGAAATACTTACTCATTATTTTTAGCTATGGATCAAAGGTGTCAATACACCATGAGCTCGAAATTACATTACTGGAAAATATATACCGGAGGCCTGAAGATGGCTAGAAGATGAAAGACGATACGTTGTCAACTCCAACTTGTAATGAATTGAAACAATAAATCACAGTTATATACAAGAAAGCTGAATGTCTTAAATTAAGTAGTGGTGCTACTGAATGGTACAGGCTTTCCCGTATTACTTTTATATTTCCTTTGGTCTCGGCTAGCTATTCGGACTTGCCCTATTCTCTTCCCAGCTGCTATCTATCGCAGCCATTTTTTGACATTTTCTTAATTTTTCGTTTTCCTTAAAGTAGAAAGGAAATATTATTTTAAGAATATTAAGGAACAGTAAAACATCGTTCTAAATAGCAAAATCCTTGGAAAAACATTGGAGCAGATTTTAAGAAAATAGTGTTTAAGCGCTACTGTAAATGCGAAATTTGAAGTTCTTTTTCACAGAAACCTTTTGAGTTTTCGAAAATTTTTTATTAAGAGTCATTTGAAGCACATTAACTCACAAATACAATAGTTTACAAATTGCTGGAAATGTGCACATTACCGGTGTGAGAGATATTTAAAAAAGTACATTAGTGTACTTTTTTTTAACACAAAAATATATCCCGATATAAACTTTACTTCATATTAAAGAGTGCTATTAGTCCGTTCGAAAAATTTGAAGAAAGAAATTGGAGCCGTTTTAGTGAAAGGGCGTTTACGCGTTTCTGAAATTGCGAAATTTTGAGCTAGTTTTCACAGAAAATGGTCGAGTTTTCGAGAAATTATGTATGTATGAATGTGTTATTTAAAGTACATGTACTAATAAATATAATGGGAGCAAATTGCATCTAATGTAAATATTAACGACATGAGAGACACGTAAAAAAATTCATTTTTGTAATTTGTGAAAAAACAAAATTATGTCATCTTATAGAGTGCATTTAGCACAATCCCAACCAAGAGTTTAAAGAAAAAATTTGGAGCGGTTTTGAGAAAATCTTGTTTTTGTATTTTTTTAAATTGCAAATATTGTACACAATATTGCGTGAAAACTACTAAAAGTTTTTAAAAAATGTACATGACGTTAATGCAAGAACTAATGATGAACAACAAATTTCATTTGAAGGAAAATCTCCTATCTCCTATTTTCAATTTGTAGTTGTAGGATTCCGAAAAATTCAAACTTTTGCAATTTTCGAAAATTTAAGAGTTGACCGTGAAAATCCGACCAATGCCATTTATATTGGTGTATTTTACTCTATTCTTGCAAGAAATTTAAAAAGAAAATTAGGAGTCATTTTTTGAAAACATTTTGAAAGTGCCCGGGGATTTTATATAAAGTACCCCCAAATTTTGAAGAAAGATTTTCAAAATTGCCCCAGACCGACCGACCGAACCTGACAGACCAAAAAGTAGACCCAGATCGACCGGGGAATATCCATTTTCGAAAAAATAGTATGTATGGTTTAGGTTCTAGAGATGTTCACAGACTGATGGACAGACAGACGGACGTTTTGGCGTCAATTGGTTTTTCGGTACCACAAAACAGGGATTATGACAACACCACGTGTAAAAGGATTATTTCTTAATTTAGCAACTGGATTTATCTACATTTCCATTATCAGGGTCCGGCAATGAATTTTTTTTCTGCCGAAAATCCGCAGTTTTTTCGCATAGCATTACATAATTTTTCTGATACTACGTATATTACTCCGTATATTTGTATGTACACGGAAAAGTAAAGATGAACGTTTTATGAATAATAATATAAACATTCACAAGAAGAAGAAGAAAAAGTGTACCTTTGTTTTACTAACCTGTAACATTAATGTTCGCGGGGGAAATAATTTAATTTTAAAATGACTTTGTTAATTTATTATTGAAGATTTAACTGATAAAATAAAAAATAATAATTAACAAAACAACCTGAAAGTTTTCTCAATTCGATGAGGAATGGAGAGGTATCCTTCTGTACCCACGGCCTCTTTTCGTGTATTCCAGGGCATCGGGGTCATCTCTTCCGTGAGAGTTAGTCTGCTCGATAAAGGCAGTACAAACAGCGTTCACTTTGTTCAAGTACTTGAACTAACAGTAGTGGTTTAACTTCTACAAAATGTAATTGTGGGACTTTTCCATTCACAAGGAAAACAGGAAACAAAACATCTAGTGCCGGTCTCGAGAGCTCTGAAGGCTGAAGGGCCGGAGCTGCCTCGTGCTTGAAGGGTCGCCGGTTCTAATCCCGGCCGGGGCATGAATGTTGGTGTGTGTACAGAAGGCGAGTTCCTGTCCCGTTACCCCCATGACCTAGAAGTTGAAAATCGACCTAAAAAAGTAGAGTATTGATGTCCAGAAACATTGATTGCAATAACTCGATGTTTAAAACATCGTGTTTTTTTTATAAAATACCGACAAGTATATCCATCTTTTGAAAACATCGGCATTGATGTCGCTACTTAACAGCTCGCCCTGCGCCGTTCCCACCCCCAGATCACAGAGATGTGGCGAATGCTCTCCGTCCACTTCTTTTCATCTCTGTCTCGGACAAAACACGTTCCTAATCTCAAATATTCAAATTTTATGTTTTCTCTAGAGAAATTTCTCATAATAATATATTTCAAATGTAATATTAATTGGGCGTGAATTATTTTTTGAATACTCTGTCCTTTGATAAACTTCACAAACAATTATCACAGAGACGTCTGGAGATCTCGCCGATATGAGGCCATGACAATTTACTCCAACATATTATGGCAATTTTTTGCGCTTCGATACTTTATAATAGTCAAACAAAAGTTTTCAAACTGGATCAGTACCAACTGTACACTGTAATCAATTTCTAACTCGAACATTCAAAGTTTTAATTCCTTGTTAATTACGGTGGCGAAATGAGAAGTGTTGGTAATCATCACTGAAGAAACTAGTGGTGCTAAATATATCATTCTTTCTCGCATTACTTCTCAATTTGCGATTTTCAAAAATCCAAAGTGCAACGAAAATAAGGCCTGCTGCTTTCTTTAAGCGTCCTTTGATCTATCCGTGGAAAAAATTTGAAGAAAAAATTGGAGCTGTTTTTGAGAAAAATATTACTTTAACTTTCTCCCTCTTACGAATGTAAGAAGAGAAAGTATTGTAATTGTCGCCTAAAAGCAGTGTATTTTCGACAGATAAACTCTCTATGTATTCGTAAGCTTCCGCGGCCGGAGTCATTGGATACTGGGCTGTTCGGGATGAGCCGCGTCTCGGATAAGCCCGGTCGATCTGACGTTTCGGCCATCGTGTTGTGGCCTTCTTCAGGGCTGTACTATTGCAGTCGATTGGTGGCCGTTTTTGAGAAAATGTTAAGCAGTACAGCTTAGGAGAACGCTACAACACAACGGCCGAAACTTCAGCTCGACCGACTGAGACGCTCATCCCGAACAGCCAAGTACCCAGAAAAACTCTTATTGTCGAGCCCTGGTAACAGAAAAATTGGATTAATCATGTTTCTATATACAGTGGAATTACTTCCACTAACACGTGGTGTAACTAGATTCATGTTTTTCGGGTCATTGATACCGCATAATCGATTGACGGCCGTTTTTTGAGAAAATTGTCTTCATGTAAAATTTTAAATATCCCACCCCCAAAATTCTGAATATCCATAACTCAACGGATTTGGCGCCAGCTTTGACCACAGACTCACAGACATGTTTTGCCATCAGCAAATTTTTCAAGGACCCACAAAACGTGGATTCTGGCTACACCACGCATTTAGATGAAGTAATTTACTATATATAGGAACAGGATTTATCCACATTTTCGTTTCCAGGACCCAACGCAATTTTTCTGCCGAAAATTTGCCGTTTTCCGGTGCACGATTACAGTACTTTCTGCTCAGGAAAGGTAAGAGAGAGAAAGTAAGCTCGGCTCGCCCCCCCTTCCCCCTCAGATAAAGCACGGAGATGGCTGTGTCCCGGGCGGACGATCAGATAAGTAACTAAGAATTCCTCGTCCAGTACTAGCATTGTGGCACCCAAATACTATAACGAGTATACTTGTATACTCGTATACTTGTATGCTCACGATCTTTTTTACTCGTACTCCTCAATGTAGAAAGGCTCGTTTGAATCTAAATATCCTGTTTATATCTACTTACTTGTTTCATAATATTTTTATCTTTCTTCTCCATTTTTGCCTTCCAGTGTTCTGAACAGTCATTTACTCATAAATTACATAATAAAACACAAATACTAGGATTGTTTCAGGAAGAGATATCGTAATGTTATTAAAACCGCCATAAAGATGAATATTTTTCACTTTTCTCACAAAGAACTGTTACATCACTATTTCATTCCTTCTTTGTTTCTTATAAAATTGCTTCGATGAAGATGATGAAGTGAAGTGAAGCAAGTCCTTAGAATGAGAAGCGTGTTCGTGGGCCAGGATAAGCTGAGTTTGCGACAGTGAAATAAAATGTACTGTAACAGATTTGTTGATGGTGGAAAATGGGTTGATAATATTCTTATCCATTTTTTTGCGATCGTGTTTGTTTTTCCTTATTGAATTTGTTAATTTTTTACATTACATGTAGCTTTTATCGCACGACAGTGATTTATTTGTAAATTAATATTTGAAGAATATTAATTATGCGGCAATTGATATTTCTGTACTTTTATTGGTAAATGGGTTTAATTTTGTATTATTATATGCGTATTTTCTGCTGTAGAACTGGTGTTTCATTCGTCTGTCTCTTTGAAGTCCATTCATAAATAAATTAGAATGTAGTTGTATGTAGTAAAACGTAGTTGCACTCCTTGTTTTCAGGTTCATTTCTGTCCAGGTTTTTATTACTGCCAGTTATTTCTCTAACTAGTTCCCCATTGTGCTTTCAGGATTCGGCAATGGCCGCAGGATGGCTCCTGTTTCTGCTGATTCTTCTGAGCACGACGTCCCCGCCCTGGCGGGGGGCGATGGTGGGGGCGGGGGCGACGGCGACGACCGCCCCGGGCGGCGCCCCGCCCCCTGCACCCACGTCCACGCCCACGCCCACGCCCGCGCCCACGCCCACGCCCACGCCCGAGCCCACGCTCTCCCCGGAGGTGGCGGCCTTCATGGCCGAGATCTTCAAGTTGGTCACGTGCAGGAACACCAAGTGCACCGCTGACAACACCCTGCCCCCCACGCACAGAGTGTGAGTGCACATGGACTTTTAAACCCAGCGGCATAGAAATAAATGGACGCCCTTATTCAAATAATATTGTTAGAAAATGAATTATTATAGTCTCATTTACACTCGTAAGCTTTTGACTTTTAGAAATGAAATTTTTACGAAATGCAGCGTCAATATGCGCACATTCTGTTGAGCTCTTCTTTTGCTTGTAGCGATAGAAGTGGGGCCGGGGGGGGTGTTTCTATTTTGATAGCAAAGAAAAACAATCAAATCTGCAAAAATCTGCAAATCAAACTTTGCTGCAAATTTGTCAGCAAAACCTACATATGACATTCAGAAATAAAAAAGAACTTGCTTATGTTTCTTTTAGGATGTCTACGTCTATTGAAGAAATAAAGTTCGAAAATTATTGCACTGACATAAAATAAGTGCTGCCGGAATTTTCGTTACCAGATGGTAACACTGGGCACTAATGGGTTTATATTTTAGTTCCACCCAGTAGTTATATGTTAGTTTTCCTTCCAAGGCAATTTTCTTGAACTGAATTCGTACTGGTATATCCTGGCGAATTTCAGAGTGCATTGTCTACTTCAGTTATTCACGTTTGCGGAGCTAAGTCGTTTCAAAAATGTTCTTAATGTTCAAATGTCGCCGATGCCTTCGCTCCGATCGGTAGCTCCAGCTCCGGAAAAGTGTTATTCGATCCCAACGCAGCACTGTGACGGGCCCTGATTTAAAAGGATCTCTGTCAACAATAAAAGACTCGCTTGCGGTAATCCCATTTCACCCGGGGTTTCTAGGAAATGAGACCACGCCCAAAACAAATGCCTCACGGCACGCGCTGACATTTGTGTCTCCCTGGACACTGCAGCTGCGTGACCATTTGCAGTTCGGGGCTCGCCTTTGCAAACGAGATCGGCGCGTCGGATAAACGCTTGATCTCCAGTGACGCAGAGCCACTTTTCAGTTAAACGGCGTTAGTTAAACTTCAGTTAAACTTCGAAATTCACGTGAAATTGTCTTGGTGACAATTCACTTGACAACTTCGACATTCACGTGAAATTGTCTTAGTGACAATTCACTTGATAACTTCGACATTCGCATGAAATTGTCTTGGTGACAATTCACTTGACAACTTCGACATTCACGTGAAATTGTCTTGGTGACAATACACAATCCATTGACGGTGTCTCACCGTGAATGGATCTTGTATTTGTTGCCCGTGGAAGTTGGCAGTACTATATCTCGTTTTGTGGCCTGTGTTGTGGAAATGGGAATGTCTCACAGAAAAACGTGAAATTTTAAGTACAGTGTATTTCTGAAACGTACATGAAAATGCATTGTATAACCCTTTCAGACCCAGACTTTTGAAACAAAATTGTGTCCTGTAGTCCGGAGAAATTGTTTTCTTAGTCTGCCTTACTCAAAAATTAAATCGTAGAGAAAAAAAGCATTTATCACATTTTGTAACTGCGTACACAAAAGATATGTACCAGTCTGAACGCTAAGAAAAAAAACGCATTTATGAGGAAAAAGCAAAACAAAAATTCCAACCTGCACAATTGTGTGCGTTGGGACTATACCTACACAATTGTGCAGGCATGTTCGGAATGGGATAACAGTCTCAGCATCAGAGCCCCCCCCTCCTCCTTAATGCAATTATTCTGCAAACCATCAACGTTTGAGGGCACGAGCCGCGTCTGCTGCAGAGTAAACACACACTCGAGAACCATAGATCGACATGGATGCCGCCTCGAGTATTGAGTATAATCCCGAGATTATATGCTTATAAATGTGCTAAAAAAGTAAATTTACCATTCATACGAAAGTGTCATTGGCTTTTCATTTCCAAATGTCGGATTCGTCCCCTGTCGTAGTCTCATCCGTCAATATTTCATACATACGCCAAATATTCACTTTCTGTTCTCGTTACATAAATAAACAAATAAATAAGTAAATAAATAAGTAAAAAATAAGTAAATAAGTGAATAAAATAAATAAATAAATAAATAGAGAAACCCTCGCGAACAACAATTAATAATTAATTATAGACCGGAGTGTGAGACTTTTTTTTATTAAAGAATAGGGTATCCAGAGTGTGTATAGAAGAATTTGTTTACCTACTTAAACAGTTCATTACGCTGCAAAGCGGCGGCAAACCGCTGCATAGACACAAGACCATGAGCGATTGCTCCAACCTATGTGCCCACGTCGCTTACAATATACATTGCACACAATTTGGTAAATACCAGTCATTGAAAAAAAATAAAACAAAATGGATTTATATATAAAGTAATACTAACAATATTAACAAGATGTTTGGGTAGCCATCTTTTTTAATTTATGAATATGCTAGCAAAGAGAAGTTTTAACATTATGATCTAACTTAACATGAAATTGGGATTAAAATTATTTTGTATTTATATATTGTAAATTTAAAAACAATTGTTTGGTAACATCGTGTTTTCAAGTTTTTGCAACGCTATGAAAAACGAATTTGAGGAAGAAAAAAAAACAAAAATCCTAACCTGCACAATTGTGTGCGTTGGAAGTATACCTACACAATTGCGCAGTGTTGCATGCACGGGGATGGCGCTGAGGGTGTGCCGTGTGTTCGCAGGGCGCCCCGCTGCCAGTGCGACGCCGAGTGCAACCTGCTGGGCGAGTGCTGCCCGCAGATCGCGCCCTCGCGTGCGTTCTGGAAGCAGCCCGAGGCCGCCGTGCGGGGCGTGCCGCGCCGCCACTGGGGCTGCACCCTCTTCCACTACAACGCCACCACCAACGTGGTACGACGCGCGGGCGCTAACCGGAAGCTCTTTTACTCTTTTGCCCTTAAAAAGTTGAAAAGGAGAAACGTAAGCAGAGAACATTAGTTGTTGTTGTTTTTTTCTTAAAGGAGACCGTTCACGTTCGGCTCCTGTGCTCCAGAATAGTTGTGCGATTTGGCGAGCTTTTGCATGGTGCTTGAAAACGACTATGAATTATTTTTATTGGTAAATGATCAGCGCTTCGTTACTCGAGGAATCCCTAGGAACGCGTTTGCAAACGCGTTTTTTTGTATACCTCAGCTGTAGAAAAACGAAAACATGACAGAAATGAAAGAAAAGGGCAGAGATCAGCACCCTTCTGTAATGTTCTCCCATGAGCCAAATTATGATGTAAAAGAAAGAATAAAGCCAAAGGAGAGATTTTAGGTATGAAACTTAAATATAAGATCAGAAGTCTAGTTTAAGTTGACTATTCCACTCGTGAAAATAAAGCCAATAGTGTTTAACTATACATTCAAAATGCACCACTCAGAGCGGTATATCTCAAAAAGTTTATTTCCTTTTCTATCCGATTTTCTTACCGCTTCTAACTACTCGCCAATCATCAACTGTGACTCATCTATCCTAGGAGGCGGTATACATCGATCGCTATGTCGATGGCCAATAAATAGCGTATGTGCTATTACATAACCTCTGATTTTATCATGCCTTTCCGTTATTTTCAATATTTGACGCATTTTGGAACTCTACTGGACATGATTTCACTCGTGGAATAGTCCTAATAATTTCAGTCGTGAAAAAGTCCTCGTGCTTTGGAAATTCTCAGATAGACTCGCTTCGCGAGTTGGGAATTTATCGACAATTTCCAAACACTCGTTGTATTACCTATGATAAAGATATCTAAATCTAAATGGTAAACCTCAAATATGTAAAAGAGAAGACGTGCAATTTATTCATTCTACAACCACCGCGCTGTTCTCAGACTCTCTCCATTCTCAGATAAATCCCGTCCTCGCTTCGCGAATTTGTCGACAATTTCCAATGCACTTGTGGCATTACCTAAGATAAATATTCCGTAATGTAAGCGGTAAACCTCAAACGTGTGAAAGAGAAGGTGTGTGATTTATTCATACTCCAACCGCCGCGCTGTTCTCAGACTCTCTCCATGGTGACGAGCTGCCCGGAGGGCCACGTGCTGGGCCAGCTGTGCGCCCGCCGGGCGTCGCCGGGCCTCTACGACTACAAGCTGGACCTGCCCGTGCTGAGCGGGGCGACCGGCGCCTGGTTCCAGAACGTGTACTGCGCCGTGTGCCACGGCTTCGAAACCACCGTCCGCAAGCAGTACCTCTCGTTCAAGTGCGCCGCGCCGAACGGCACCCAGCTCCTGCCGGTGACGGGGGTGGGCGTGGCGCCCAGCCCGCTCTACACCGCCCCCGCCCCCACCCCCACCCCCAGCAGCGGCGGCGGAGGGGAGAGGAACGTGGCTAGGCGCAGCGCGCCCTCCACCTTCGATAACGCTGTCGATACGGACGGCAGCTACGAGACGGAGTACAACGTTGCCCGGAAAGACAACGCCACCCATGATGACCGCAATTACGCCTACGTGTTCGAGGTTCGTTACTCGTGTTACTTCGATATCCATTCAGTTGAATATATTAGTAGCAAATTTCCGATAACAGTCCTAAACAGTACCCTTTCCTTCTTTCAAAATATTTTTACGTTCTCTTCTTGGGCGGCGGTCATTGTGGAGCCGATTTTGGTCGGAATTTCGGTAGGCTAATGTCGGACGGACACAACCAATCGAAACAATCTTCGTCCGTCACCCGACGTTTTTGGACGCCATCGAAATAGGGCGAAGGGGGTTCTGTAAGATCATTTCCGTTTACCATCACGTGTAGCGTAAATTCAGGACCGCGGACAAAATCGGCGGACCTAAATTTCGGGCAAAATCAGTTCCACTGGGACCGCCGCCATCATATATAAGGAGAAAAGGGTTTTTTTCGGCGATTTTTCGACAGAAAATATCTTATTAACTAGCCTTGGAGACGATGAAGTGGATAAATCTTATTAATAAATATTGTAAATTACTTCCTCCAATACGTTGTGTAGTCAGAATCCATGTTTGTGAATTCTTGATACGAAAAAATTCATGTTTGAACCAGATATTTTAATTGGTGGGAGGCCTCAACATTTTCGATTTTTTTTCAAAAATTGTGCTATTTTTTTACTATTACCCACTTACTTTCGCCATTAATAAAGACATTATTATTATTATTATTATTATTATTATTACTTTCTAAGAAGAGAGTTATGTAATCGTGCGCCCGAAAACTGCTGATTTTTCGTCAGTAAAATTCTTATTGCCGTGCCCTGGTAACTAAAAAGTAGATAAATATGCTGTAGACAAAGGGTGCCAAAAATGTGTACTCACTTCAAGCAAATAAAAAAACTGACTCTTCAGAAAATTATGATCAATTAGATCAATTAGACTTTTTCAAGTGCAACAGTTATAACTGATTATCCAAGTGGCCAGTATCGGTATCGATACACTTCTGCATGATTGATCTACTGTTCGAACATTTGTGAATGTGTCCTTAGCGATTGCAGCGTATACCGTATCAATTTATTCCCAAAGATTTGCCAGAGTAGCTGTTTTTCTACAGCTTATATAATTATTTGTTTGAAATAAGGGCCCCCCTTGAATAAACTTCTTAGGTGCCTGCTCTTCTCTGAGCGACCCGACGTGCATATATGAATTGAATTGAATAGAAATCAATTAAATTGAATTAATGCGTTATTTTACGTGGCGAGACTCGGGCCATCACGCCCGCTCTTCCGTCTGACCACGCAAATTTCGCTACGCTCCTTTCACCCACTAGCAAAGAAAGGAGGTATTTCTTGGGCGACGAAACAGGCGATTTCAATTTAGCTCAGAGGCTTCTTTTAGGCTTAAGCATTTTTACATGCAAGTAAATCTACCAGCATGAGACAGCCGGCTATACTTCCCCTCGGAAGGAAGGAGTACAAAGGATTTTTTTTTCGCCCTTAAAAATCCACGATCGGATTTTAACCCGCCAACGTGGGTATAACAGTCCGACACGCTAACAATTGTACCATCGCCGCCGCCACGTACGGTGAACGGCCTAATTTCCACCCGCAGATTCTCCAAGGAGGCACGTATCAACCGGGGAAGCTGAAGTGGGTTACGCAGGACGGAGGGTACTGCCACCTGTACCCCGAGTTGCCGCCGCCGTCGACGGGGCAGGACGCCGTCCCGTGGGAGCGGCCCTGCATCCAGCTCGTGGACCGCTGCTCCGAGGACTGGGCGGGCGACAAGGAGGTGGCGGATCTGTGCGCGTCGTACGCCTACCACGTCGTGGGCTCCAAGGTGCGTTCTTCGGCCTGCCGCCGGCGTAGGTGGCTCACTCTGGCCGTCTATTGATGGCAATGCAGTGCCTCTGATTGGGAGTTCCTAGGCTTCGAGTTCGGACGGGGCAAGGATTTTCGTCACTAGCTACATAGATAGGTCGAATTTAATCACTATCTGGGGGAGACTTCTACCGCGCGACTGCTCTGATCAATAGTTTTCCGTGGTTTCTCCGATCAGCACCAGCCTAATGCCGGAGCAGTACTCCAACAAACGGGCCAAGATCATGCATGGTCGTTCCTTCCTCCTCACCCCATACTTAAACGCACTTACACTTACATGCACCTCACTACCATATATGTCGGGGGATCATTCGGGACTTAGAGCTTGTCCCGGCTGGAGCGACTTCTCGCTGGTGGGAGATACCTGGTTGGGGAAAGTGGGCGTAGGTCGGCGCCTGATCTCGGCAGCCAGCGGGGGAGAATTACCTCCACCTCCCGCTATAAAAACATGCCACACACTTACGGGACTAATGACCTTAGCCGTTGACGCACCCGGAATAACTAATCAATCAAACGTGTATGATAGTGTAGTGCGCGTATAAAAAGGGAAAGGAGAGGACAGGATAAGGTAAACGATGGGATGAACGCGCGCTGTCCGTAGTCCGTTTGTTAGGGTACTGTATTTACGTGGTGTTGATCAGAGAAACCATGGATAATCATCGATCAGAGCTGCCGACCGCTAGAGGTCTCCTTCAGACAGCGGTTAAAAACGACCTATCGATATAGCTTGGGTGTAAAAATCCGCCACCGTCGGGACTCGATCCCCTAGGACCAGCCGGTCAGGGTCGCGTTGCCGGCCGAGAGCTCCCAAGTCTAACGTGGCTTGCGTGTGGCAGACGTACAAGAACCCGCACTGCGCCGTCTGCAACAACGACACGGCGCCGCTGCGCTGCCGCAACACCGTGCTCCCGCGCCGCCACAACGCCGGCGCCCACAAGCCCGTCTCGCTGCGCCTCATCATGGACTACGAGTGGGACCCCGGCCGCGACGGCTGCATCTCCCGCGGCGGCGTCTGGGACGCGCTGCACAGCCGCTGCCAGTCGCTCGACGACGTCTGCCCGCGCGGCTCCAGGTACGCCCCACGCCGCCCGACTGCAGCTCGCACTCATCTCTCATCAGCTCTCCCTGCCAGCTGATCCCCTTGCTCTTTTCCCGTCACCTGAGAACGCATAGCCCCAAATCACGCGCCCCAAATTAATTATTAATTTAATACAAAAAGTTGTGTAATATAATTTAGTAATTATATTTTAATTACCAATAACCCCAAATTACAATGTTACATATAGCCTCAAATCACGTGATCCAAATTAATTATTAATTTAATATAAAAAGTTGTATAATATAATTTAGTAATTATATTTTAATTACCCATAAGCCCAAATTACAATGTTACATATAGCCTCAAATCACGTGATCCAAATTTATTATTAATTTACTATAAAGAGTTCTGTTTATAATATAATTGAGTAATTATATTATAATTACCTACAGCCCCAAATTACAATATTACATATAGCCTCAAATCACGTGATCTAAATTAATTATTAATTTAATATAAAACGTTGTGTGTTTATAATATAATTTAGTAATTATATTTTAATTACCTACAGCCCCAAATTACAATATTACATATAGCCTCAAATCACGTGATCCAAATTAATTATTAATTTAATATAAAAAGTTATGTGCTATAATATAATTTAGTAATTATATTATAATTACCCAAGCCCCAAATTACAATATTACATATAGCCTCAAATCACGTGACCCAAATTAATTATTAATTTAATATAAAGAGTTGTATATTTATAATATAATTTAGTAATTATATTTTAATTACCCATAACCCCAAATTACAATATTACATATAGCCTCAAATCACGCGCCCCAAATTAAGTATTAATTTAATATAAATAGTTATATATTTATAATATAGTTGAATAATTATTTCTGAGGTGCTGAAGCGTCACCCCGTCGCGTTCCGCCAGAAATCAAGCCCTGAGTACTACATAATTTTAATTTATATAACAAGATATTTTTTGACGAGGAAGAAAGATTGTAATTCGAGCGCGGTAACGAATGGTATTTTTTCATCAGTGAAGGATGCTCTGTAGTAGCCTGAATCGTGAACAATATTTGTCAAACATTTTTTATTAATTTTTGAAATAGTTTTAAAAACTATTATATATCTTATTTAGCCGGTACAATAATTACTTTACAGTGACTCAAGTCCTTAACTATCAGTAGTGTTCAGAGAATATTTGAGTTTTATCTTGGTTCGTCGGTAGGCAAAATTCAAACATAGTATATGCCATGTCCTTTGTGAATACTGAAGAAGATGCACCTGTTCTTTCCGAAATTTTAAGAGCATTTTATTGATGATTTTTGACGAGGTTTTAGGTCAGGGTTGTCCAACTGGCGGCCCACGGTGCGGTCCACGGTGGCATTCTTTATAACCCGCGAAATGTTCTTAGTTAAAAGTGAATGTCCCTTTCATCCATGCCGGGCGACAACATTGTGCGCCCTGTCGGGGTCAACACCTCCTTTAATGTAAAAATACGTTAAGTTTATATATGAGGATATTTTTAACTAGTAAATTTAGACTCTCAAAATCATCCCAAAGTGTTTCAGTGCGTTATGCACGGTACGACCTGATATCCCACATGATTGCATTCCACACACACACTCACAAGTTCTGAGCAGCCGGGCTAGGTACCGAGATCAACAATACGGAGAAGTCAAGTGTGGATTGCTCGAGTAATGAAAATATGGCCCGCAACCTTATGAAAGGTTTTAGTAGTGGCCCTTGAGACCCATCAAGTTGGACACCCCTGTTTTAGGTTATCAAAATCCGCCCCTAATGAGTATGTATTCGCCGGCATATTAAAGGTTTTAGTTG